GTAGTTGACAATTGTCGTCGTGTGAAGTGCAAATAGATCTTACATGAGATGTTTGGCTCATGAGTACATAGAAAACAGACAGTACACAGTACACAGACACACATACATACATATGTACATATGTACGCAAGCAAATACATGCACATACAATGTATGCATGGACATTATTTAAATACATGAGTAATTGAGTTAACTTTAAGGAATTTCATTTGTCAACTGTTTCGACAAATAGCTCAGGAATATGTGGAATTGCTACGGGCTTCAAGCGGACCCTACAGCTGCAGCTGCACTCTTCTAACATTATACCTAATTGAGTATGGAGCTTAAGAGAGGCCGTCGTTTAAGAGCGTCGTAAATCTGCTGCACTAATTACTATAAATGCCACGAGTTTCTTTGTGCAAATGACAAGAAGGTTGCAAGGCAACAGCAGAGATTCAATGTGACGAACCCACAAACAGAAACGGCGAATATTCATATTTTACATGTATGTATGTAGGTATGTAAATACACATGTACATATGTATAATTTGGCATACATGCATGTACACACATACATATGTATGTATATATGTGTGCATGTATATACATATGTGTATATTTATGTATGTATGTATCTACATACATATATACATTGACGGTGCCGCAAAGTCAACACCAAAATGCCAACACCAACAATAAAAGAGAAAAACAACAACAGCAGAGTAAACTCCAAGCCGGCTTTAGCAAAAAAAAAAAAAACGTAAGAAAGGAAAAGAAATAATAAAGTAAAGAAAACAACAACAAACGGCGCAGACGCGCAGCGAAACCACAACAAACGGCGCAGCCGTAACGCCGCAGCGCCAAAAGAGCAAAAGCCAGAGGAGAGGGGGAGGAGGGTTCGCCAACGGCGTTGGCCCTGAGCCAATGCTAGCGTGAGTCATGGGCAGCGCAATATGCTTAGCAACGTCGCCAACGCCGGCGATGCTAGCAACGACAACGGCAACGGCAACGGCGACGACGACGCCAGCGGCGGCGCTAACGGCTCGTCGGAGTGGCGCTCGCATTACATAAGCCGAAGCCGAGAGACAACCAAAAGCCGAAGACGAAGCTCAAGCTGAAGTCTGAAGCTGGGCGATACGTCGGCTTAAGGTTTTGTTTGTTTGTTCTCACACCCGCTGGCGCCCTCGCAGTCATTCTTGCTCTCTCACTCTCTCGTAATTAAAAAGTAACGGCGCTGACAATGACAGCTGTACGCTCTCAATTAAAAAGTCATTAACTGGCATGCACACACACACGCATGCACGCAGAGAGTGGGAGAGAAAGAGAGCTGGACACTGGACACGCATTAAGGACTAGCTACGCTGTGATTGACGCTGACACGCAAGACCTCTGCACCGACACAAACACACACACACACACACGCACATGCATGCACCTTGTAATTAGAGTTGAGTTAGGCGGCTCTACCTGCGCCTGCGCCAGCAACTGTTGCGTGTCATAAATGCGCCATAAAACAGCCTAATCCCGCTGCACACACTTGAGCCGGCTGCAGCAGCGCGCTTGCCGCATCAGCTGTCTAAGAGAGAGGCCCTAAGATCACCCACCCCTCACACACACGCATACACTCACGCACATGTTACTCACGTAGCTTTCGGCTCCCTTTTACGCACTGCCGCTGCGCTGCTCCTGTCATTGCTGTCTGCTTTTCTACAAACTTTTTTGCTGCTGCTTGCGGCTACATGGCCTTGCCCGCGTTTCTATTGATACGCATACAGTGAGCACTCGCGATCGAATGCAACATTTTAATTAACATTAGTAGGACTCTAGTCCTGTAGTCCGAATATTACTTTTTCTGATATTTGTATATATACATATGTATATATACGACATAGAGTGCATGATTCGAAGTCCTTGCGAATTGCCTTCATTTAAATGGTGCTTCCTTCTTAAATAAATAATAAAATGTCGCGCGAACATCCTTTGACCCTCGACAGTTGCTCTTAGTTTCTACACACTGTATACAAAGCGCGCACACACACACACTAACGCATGCAGAGATTTGTAAAGCTTGTTTTCATATACATACATACATATATTTTTGTTGTTGTTGCGTTGCCCACTTTTTGGTTCTTCCTCTTCGCTGTGCGTCGACGTCTTCAGCGTCGTCTTCTTTATTGTTTTATTGTCAGTTTAGGGATTTGACAATTTGCTTGCTGATTTTTTATGACAATCATGTATGTAAATTTTCGGCGTGCCTTCCACGCTCTCAACTCTTCCTCAAGGCCCACGCAGCCCAAAGGCAAAGAGAGAAAGAGTGAGAGAGTGTATGGATGGATGTATGTATGTGTGTGTATGTAGCTGTATCTGTAGCTGAGCCCCATTAGCTGGCATTTGGCTTACGAGATTTTTAAATACTTTTGGGCATTTTCATTCGTCCCAGCCCAGAAAAAAATGAAAAAGACAAAAAAAAAAAATCGAGCTCGAACCCTTCGCACATCTATTTTTAGTTTTTCGCTTTGGCTTTTTACTTGCATGAATGTGTGTATAAATTTATATGTATTTTTTATGCTCTGCATAAAAGTTGAGTTTATTAATTTTAAAGCGTTGACAAGTTTTACGAGACCCAACAACAACAACAAAGGTAGAAACAACCGAAACTAGGCTAAAAGTGTGAGGCGAACGTGTATGCGATTCCTCATCAGAGCCAAAGCGTGAGTCAATCTGGCTAATAGAGCAAGAATGTGGCCTAATAAAGCTGACCAATTTAATCAGATCGAACCGCCTGCGAAACAATCGAAACAGCTGTTGTTGAACTTTTCTTTTCTTGTTTTCTTTTTTGTAGTTCTTTTTGCAATTCTTGAATTGATTGTTACAAACTCAGACATCGAATCACTTCGGAATTACAAAACTAATCAAAACCAAGCCAAAACAATTTGTTTCAGTTGCCTGCCTGGTCTACAAGCGGAGTTACAATGGGCTAGTTACTCCAAGTCGGGCTTGAATACGGTTTTTGGGGCCGCATCATCACAAAGAAATGGCCAAATTGCCTTCGTAAAGCAAAGTAAATAAATAATAAAAGCAAATCAAATGCAAAAAAAAAGGTCGAAAGAAAACAACAACAGCAAAATGCAAAAACAGCGCCAGCGTTGGCAAAGCAAAAACAAATGCAGCAACAGAAAGAGACAGCGAAAGCAGCGACGGCGAAGTCAGCGAAAACACAAAACGCACGGCACATAAGCGCTGCCGCTGCTGCTGTTGTGTCGCCGTCGTTGCTGTACATAGCGCACGCACACTCACACTCACACACACACACACACAAACACTAGCGCACACGCACGCCAGCCCAGCAGCGACTGCGCTTCTGCTGCGGCTGCTGCTACTTCTGTTATGTGCGCATATGTGTGCGTGTGTGCGTAAGTATTTGCTGCTGCTGCGGCTGCTGCTGTTGCTGCTGCTGCTGCTGCCGCTGCTGCTGCCAGAATGCCGCATGCACGTCGGTCATTTGTATTTGGAAACACAATTCCGTTCCGTCATTTGTATTTGGAACGCCGTAGCAGAAAGAAGGACACGAGCGAATAAGCGACGAAGCGTGTGAACGGAGTGGAGCGGCTATTTTAGCTTTTAGCGCCCTTTTTTGTTTCATTTTCTTTGTACATGTAAAATAAATATTAAAAAAATATAACATACGGCAAAAATCAACAACAAATTTTTGGCAACACTTTTCGGCAAAAAAAACTATTTCGGACTTAAAGAAAAACGAGAAAAAAAAGAAAGAAAAAACACTGATAAAAAGTTAATCAAATAATTGACGCGTTTTGTATTGTTTTTCCATTGTGTTCGTAAACATTTTTTTCTGTTCAACTGCAGTTAAAAAAAAAAAAAAACAAATCTTACGGAAATTCTCAAGTGATCATGGAGTGAACAAAATGTAATGTAACCAAAAGAATGAAAACGAATAACCAAATGCTAAAAGGCAACGATCAAAGAAAGAACTAACCGGCGAACAGCAGACGAAAGCGAACCGAAACTCTTTCGCGCTCGCAAAATCAAAATTCTAAATTCAAAAAGTAAAGAGAAAAAATACAAAAAAATCAACATCCCAGCAAATCTTCAAGTTCTTCGTTTCGGTCTTTTTTTTATGTTATTATTCTTCAGTTGTTTTGTGTTTCGGTGAAGCAGAATAAGAGAAGGAGAAGAGAGAGAGAGAGAGAGATCAGCAAGCCGCTAAACACAAAAACTGCACAAAGCGAAGGCGCAGATAAGTAAGCAAAGCCAACATCAACAACAACAACAGCAACAACAATAATAATAGCAGCACCAACAATATCAGCGGCGAAGATGGCGATCATGATGACCAACTGTCCATCATCATCATCGTCTTTGCCAATCAAATTCATAATTGTTATGTAGCTGTATATATTTCTAAATATATATGCATATATATACGTATACTGCCATTTTTTTTTTACAAGTGTATGTGTGTGTGTGTGAATGCAAAACTATACGAACACTATGAACATAAAGAAATGTGAAAGCTACAACAGCAGCAGCAGCAACAGCCAACGCAGTCGCAACTGCATGCCTAGAAGAGAGCACACTGTTAAGATCAGATTTAACAGCTGCTAAAGCAAATGCAAATGTTAAAAGAGAATCTCAGCACATTTTGGATGCTTGTATTTGTTTTTTTTTTTTTGCTATTTTTTTTTCTCGATGAACAGTGCAAAGCAAAGTAACAGAAGCTGCGGCTGCGTAGAGCTCTGCTGCTGTTGCTGATATTAAGTGATCGTTTTTTTAAAGTCTCTTTCATTCTCTTTTGCACCTTGCTGTGCTCTTCGAGCCAGAACCGTTATCTGAGAACTCAAGTAGTGCATGTGCATGTGACTAGTCTATATATATGTACATATGTGTCTGTTTTGTAAAAATTTGTAAATTAAAATTTAAAATTTATTTTTGCAGTACAAATACAAATACAAATACAAAAAAGAAAACCAAAACGAACGGCAAAGCAGCCAACGAATATTAAAAACAACAGCAACAACAATAAATTATTAAAAAAAACCTCACACACAAAAAAAAAAAAAAACATCTTAAGCAGCTGTCGAAGCAGCAACTAGAACAACAGCAACAATTAAGAAGCAAGCCACATGAGCAGCAGCGCGACGCCAACGCCGACGCAAACGCCAACGCCGACGTTTAATGGCGAGCATAAAAAGTGAAATGCCGCCACTGCACGCGGCAGAGGCGCTCGCTGCTAGCAGCAGCAGCAGCAGTAGCGGCCCAACTGATAGCGGCGGCGGAGGCGGCACAGCAGCAACTGCAGCAGCAGCAGCAACAACTGCAGCAGTGGCCGCAGCAACAGCCACAACAACTGCATCGGCAGCAACTGTTGCTGGAGGTAGTGCGCCAGCAACGCCGAATGCGAATGCAACAATCAGCGCCGCCGCGGACTCCAGCGATAATCAGCCAGGCACGCCGCAGCCAACAACACAGCAACAATCGCTGATGTCAGTGGACGCACAGCAGCAACAGCAACAGCAACAACAGCAGCAGCAGCAGGCGTCGGGGATAACGCATCAGCCATATGCAACGCATCACATGTACGCAGCAGCAGCGCAACAGCAACAGCAACCACCACAGCAGCAGCTCTACGGCGGCCTCTACGCCAGCGATATGCAGCAGCAACAGCAGCAGCAGCAGAGTTACGCGGCCAGCAGCTACATCAACAGCTACGAGCAATTCTATCAGCAACAGCAGCAGCAACAACAGCAGAGCGCGGCTGACTATGGCGGCGCCTATGTGGACTACAGTAAAGCCTCGGCGGTGCGCTATCATCCGTATTTGCAGCAGCCAACGTCGGTGCTGCCAACGGCTGTGGCGGCAGCAACTGTTGCTGCCGTCGACGATGCCACAGCAACACCGGCGGCCGCAGTAACGACAACAGCAGCATCTGTTGCTGCGATGAGTCCGCGCGTCGTTAGCAGCAGCAGTCCCACCTCCACCTCATCGCATCTGCAGCTGAGCAGTGCCACGCCCAGTTCGCCGGGAGGCGGCTGCAAGTTGCAGTGCAAAAAGTGCGGCATCTTGAACACTAACGAATCGGAATTGCAGGAACACATTGCCAACGTGCACGGAGAATCGCCATACGGAAGCAGCGGCTATGCCAGCTCGCCCTACATCAAGGAGGAGATGCCGATGCCGACGCCAACAGCGGTGGCCGCGGCAGCAGCAGCAGCGGCGGCAGCCAGCGGTGAGCTGCTCGACTTGGACTCCCAGAAGATGGTCTATCACCAGCAATTGCTGCAACAGCAACAACAGCAGCAGCAACAGCACCATCACCATCACCACCACCTCCAACAGCAGCAACAACAACATCCGCAGCAGCAGCATCAGCAGCTCCATCAACACGACGCTGTGGTTGCCGGCCTGCCATTGGCATTGCCCGATCCATTGCATTCGATGCAATCGATGCAGCAACGTGCGCTCCACAGTTGGGAGCAACAGGCCACGCCCACCGAGGGTCTGCCCGCCTATATGCAGCCGCTGCTGGAGAAATCGCCGCACTACTACGGCTCGCCCAAACAGTCGCCGTATCACCCATCGACGGTGGTGAAGCAGGAGTATGCATTGATCAAATCCGAATATGCCGACTCGCAGCATTATGTGGACAAATCGTTCGATCCGACGGCAGCCGAGGTGACCACCAGCCCGGCCGAGTTTCCGAGCACCACAACAACGGATGGCAATGCCGTGGGTGGCAACGCTGGCACCGCATACCGTGGCTTCGAGCCGCCCAGCTCAAGTTCGGTACTGCCGGCGAATAGCCTCACGGCCAAGGCGGCCACCTGGAAGTCGAACGAGGCGCGTCGCCCGAAGACCTACAATTGCACCGCGTGTAACAAGTGGTTCACCAGCTCGGGCCACCTGAAGCGCCACTACAATACGACGCTGCACAAGAATGCGGTGAAGTCGAGCGGGCAGCCGGATCCGGCAACGTTGCCCATATCAGCGCATCATCATCCTGCACGTGATCCCGTTACGAAGACCAGTCGACGCGGCAATGCGGCAGCAGCGGCCGCAGCAGCAGCGGCAGCGGCGGCAGCAGCAGCAGCAGCTGCAGCAGCTACACAGGAACCGCCAGCAGCGGAGCCGCCCAGAAGTCCGCCGGACTATGGAGGAGGCGGTGGCGGTGTTTGTGGGGCGACGGGCGTGCAGGTGGGCGCCGCCATGTCGCAGTATTCGGCCTCGCCGTCGCCCACCGCTCAGCAGCAGCAGCAGCAGCAGCAATTGATTGCCAGCAATGGTTATGCCAATGGCCACGCCCACTATCATGGCCATTACAATATCCAGCAGCAGCAGCAGCAGCAACAAGTGCAATCGACGACAAACGCTTCACCACAGCATGCTAATAGCAACAACAACAGCAGCAGCAGCAACAACAGCAGCAGCAGCAACAACAACAATTCCGTTTTGAACGGTCACCCAAACGGGCTAGCAGGTCCCTCCGCCCCAATCAACAACAACAACAACACACAAATGCCGTCCTCCCAAATGAGGGGCCTGCTGAACAACAACAACAACAACAAAATAACAACAATCAACAACAACACAACAACAACAATAGCCACAACTATAAAAGTCGAGCAAATGGAGGACAGCAGCAACTCAGCAATGGTCATGGAACAGGAGCAGGAGGAGGAGCAGCAGCAGCAGCAGCAGTTGGAGGAGCACCAACAGCAGCAGCAGCAGCAACACGTCTTGCTGCAACATCACCCACTGGAGCAGCAGGAGCAGGTCAGTTATCTGCTGTCGCGGCCCTATCACAGCAGCAACAGCAACAGCAGCACCACCATCACCACCACCAGCACCACCATCAACAGCAGCAGCAACAGCAACAACAGCAGCAGCAGCAGCAACAGCAGCTCGCCGCCTATTACTTACCACCACCACCAACAACTGCAACAGCTGCCGCAGCAGCAGCAGCAGCTGCAGCCGCTGCAGCAGCAGCAGCAACTGGAACAGGAGCAGCAACACCAATCGCACCACCACCAACTGTTGCAGGCAATGGATTTCTCGCGCACCCAGCCGCTGCTGCCGCCGCCGCCTATGGCAGCGCTGCTGCCGCCTATAACAATGGACTACAACATGCTGGCTTTGGATATGCAACAGCAGCACAGCAATATGCTGCAGTGCAGCAGCATCAGCACGCCGCAGCAGCCGTTGCTGCCGGTCACTATTACCACCACGCCCATCCACACGCCCATCCCCATGCACACCCACACGCCCATCCACACGCCCACCACCCACACGCACATCAATATGGACATGGAATGCACCACTATGCAGCAGCAGCAGCAGCAGCAGCACTACCTGGCACCACAGCCGCTGTCGCCGCTGCCGCAGCCGCTGCAGCCGCAACAACTGTTGCTGGTGGACAGCAACAGCAGCAGCAACAGCAGTACGGCCAGCAGCCATACGCCCAACAGCAGCAGCAGCAGCAACAACAACAACATCAGCAGCTCAGCAGCAACAGCAACACAGGTGGGGGCGGCAGCAGCAGCAGCAGCAGCAGCGGCGGCGGCAACATCACCACCGCCGCACATCATCACCAGCAGCAGCAACAACAGCAGCAACATCATCAGCAGCAGCAGCAGCAACATCTCCAACAACAGCAACAGCAACATCTCCAGCAGCAGCAACAGCAGCAACAGCATCCTGCCATGCTATCAGCAGCTGCCGCCGGTGCTGGAGCACACAATGAGCTATCACACTATTATTGGTAACGAGCCGGGCCACTACGACACCTACACGACCAGCGACGGCCACCAGATATTGCAGCTGATGCCGGCTGCCTCGCTCTTTGCGCCCTATGCACCACTGTCGCCCTATTCGGTGGCTGCGCAGCGCTCGCCGCAGGAGGGGGACTTGCCGCCGGTGCATACGCTAACGAATGCATTGCAGGCGCAGCAGGAGGCGCAACAGCAGCAGCAGCAGCAGCAGCAACAACAGCAGCAGCAGCAGCAACATACAACTTTAACGCTGTTGGCCACGCCCACTCCGTATTCGCCCACAGTGAGCAGCTCGCGTGCAACGCCAGCCCTAGAGCTTGATATGGCATCGCTCATAGCACAGCAGCAACAGCACGACTACGAGCAATATCAGTTGCAGCAACTCGAGCAGCAGCAGCAGCAGCAACAACAGCAACAACAGCAACATATTGAGCAACAGCAACTCGAGCAACAACAGCAGCAGCAGCAGCAGCAACTCGATCAGCTGCAGCTGCAACAAACTGTTGCCGTGCTGCCCAAAAAGCGACGCGCTGCCGTTGCACTTTCCTCAACAACAACAACAGGAACAACAGGAGCAGGTACAACAACTGTTGGTGGTCCGCCCAGCAAGCGACGACGCAACAGCAGCATCGGCTCAACATCGCCACACTCGACCACATTGCCATCGGGTCGTATCAAGTGCTTGGAGTGCGACAAGGAGTTCACCAAAAACTGTTACCTCACGCAGCACAACAAGAGCTTCCATTCCGGTGAGTATCCATATCGGTGCCAGAAGTGCGGCAAGCGTTTCCAAAGCGAGGATGTTTATACCACGCATCTGGGCCGCCATCGCACCCAAGATAAGCCGCACAAGTGCGAGCTCTGTCCAAAGCAATTCCATCACAAGACCGATTTGCGGCGACACGTGGAGGCCATCCACACGGGCCTCAAGCAGCACATGTGCGATATCTGCGAGAAGGGCTTCTGTCGCAAGGATCATCTGCGCAAGCATCTCGAGACGCACAATCGTCCACGGGTTGTTGGCAAAAAGGCAGCGGCAGCTGTTGCTGCTGCGGCTGCTGCTGCGGCTGCTGCCGCTGCAACAGCCAAAGCAGCAACGGCAGCAGCTAAAACAGCAGCAGCAGCAACAGTTGCAGCAGCCAACATTGCTAGGACAACAGCTGACGATGTTGCTGCTGACGATGATAGTTTGCTAGACGATGATGAAGACGATAATGATGTTGAGCAGCAACAGCAGCAGCAACAGCAGCATCAACAACGGCAGCAACTGTTGCTGAGCGGCGAGCATCATTTGATTAAAAACGAATTTGTTGATATTAAGAATGAGTACGAGGAGGAGTTCACGGAGGACTTTCATATTATTGAAAAGGATATTGAAATGTATTGAAACGGGGGGATATATATATATACATATTTATAACTGAATACGCATATATATATAGAGGGCACAGGGGGTTGGGGGATTGGGGGGTTTTATTTGGGGAGGGGTTACTCAGGGGATGGCTGGTCTTCAAATGCAAAACGCTTTAAAAAAATACAAAATGAAAAAGGCAAAAATGGAAAAAAATTTATATATATATATATATTTAGCCTTTTATTCCCATGTTTTCAAATTCCATTATTTTAAATATAAAAAAACAAACAAGTTTTTTGCTAACAAATCTTTATTGCGCGTTCCAGCAATAAATTGTTGTTCCAAAAACACACAAACACACACACAAAAAAAAAAACACATTTTTTAATTTTTAAAAATATCAAACAAATTTTAAAAAGTTGATAAAAGAAAGCCTTCGGCATTTGAAGACACGCCCACTCAGCACAGCTGTTATAAAAACTAAAACAAAACTTTGCCATATGAAAAGAAAAGAAACAAAAGCTATAACTATAAAATATGCTATATATACCCACATATATATATAAATATATATGTATACAATTTTTTTTTTTTTTTTAATTCAGAATTCCTAATTGTTGTAGCAGCAAATTTAATTTAATTGAAGAAACAAAAACCTATGTTAAATTGTATTATTATTATTAATTATGAATTAATTAATTGTCGTAGAAGTTTTTTTTTTTTTTGTAATTTTTATTTCCAATTATATTATACGTATTATTTGTATTTTTATTTTGTTATATGTAAACTTAATGTTTTAAGGCCGTGCATACCTCAAAGAAAACAAAACAAAAGAAAGATTGAAAAGAAGAAACGCTTAAAGAATGCAAGAAAACAAACAGAAATCAGGGCAAACTATATATACTATATATATATGTGTGTATATATTTAGTATATATATATATATATATATATATAGATACTAGATGATCTACTGGATCTATAGTACATTGTTTATATTATTATTTTTTTGATTAAACTAATTTAAATGCAATTGTTGTTTATTTTCTGTCAGCCTGTAAACCATACACATATGCCATACATATATATGTATATATATAAATATGTAATACCAATTGATATGTATAAATATATCTATATATATATATATGTATATATATATATACATATTTCTTTTAACCTACGAAACGCCAAACACAAACACAAAAGAAAAACGCAAATATCAGGGATAAAACTTATAATTAAACCAAGTTAATGCTTATATATATACATACATATATACATATATATATGTATTTAATATATTTATTATTATTAATTTTTTAATTTATGCATTTGCTTTGTAAGTCCCAAAATAAAGACATGAAAAAAAAGACCCGCAAATAATAAAAAGAAAACAAAATTAAATATTTCATTTTATTTTTTTATTTTAAATTTATAATTTGCCTTAATATAATACTCAAAAATATAAAATTATAATAATTTGCCATTAGCTTTATGTTACCCACTTTTTCCTTACAAAATACGCTCCAAACACACATACATATATATATGTATATAAATTAATATATATATATATATACCTACATATATAATAATTAGCTTCTATCATAATTTTTTTTATTATAAAACTTTTTTTTTGTGTGTAATTAGCGCAACAAATTTGTTTAACTATATATATATATATTTAGCTACTAAATGAATATACATATACATATATTAAAGTGAGAGAAGAAGAAGAAGAATAACAAAGAAGAAAACGAAAAGATAAAAAGGAATGCGAAGAGTGGAAGTAGAAGAAACGCTTTCCGTACCAAGATCTTAAAACAAATGCAAAATAAATTATTGAAAATGTTTCAAGCCAAAAAAAAAAAATTATAATTTCTTTTTATTTTGTATATCTGAAATGCTTTATTTTTTTTTTTGGTTATATTTTTATTACTATTTCTTTCAGTTATTATTATTGGATAAACAATAGATACTAGATGAACTGGAACAAGACTTTTGATATTTGAAAGCGGAATATGATATATAGTATATTCCACTGAAAAAAAAACCATAGAAGAGAAAAAAAATATTTAGTTTATATGTTTATATTATTTTCGTATTACTTTTTCTTTCAGTTATTCGGTTTATTATTATTTTTTTTTTTTTTTTACTGAATGACCTGGAGTAGTATTAAAGAGGAATATGGTATAAGAGATAGAGAGAGCGAGAAAATAGTTAAAAGGAAGGAAAACATAATTAATGTTCTTTCAGCTATTTATGAAATTATAATATTTCGAATGTGAGTTTAGCTGGAAGACTCTTATATACAAACATATAACAATTATGGAGCATACATGAAGCTTGCACTGAATCAAAGTTTCGAGAAGAAATTTTACAAGTTTGCGGACCATAAGTTATACAGTTAGTCAATAAAGTCTATGTACATTAGCAACGTACGACATTGCAGAGCTCAAATCGAATCAACTCTTTAGCTTTATATATATTTCTATTCATATTCAACAGGTTTATGCTCTTCTCACACTCCTAACTGAGCTCCTAACCTAGCTAAAGATTTTAGATCTTCAAGAGTCAAGCTCTCTTGAGCTTATGCAGAGTCGAATCAAACAGCTGCCATATATTAGAAATGTCAGCAATATACAGTTTTACATAATGTACATATACATACATGATACACACACACATATATATATATACATACATACATGAACCATGTGATAAGGGCATTTAAATGTCGCTCAGCGTTTTTTTTTTTTTTTTTTTTTTTTTTGACTTCTTGTTAATTTTGTTAATTATTTTTGTTGAATTTTATTTTTATATTTATTATGTTGTTCTCTACATTTGCTGCTTTTTCAGTTTCTGTGATTGTTGTTGTTGCTAGTTCCAAAGAAATTACGTGCGTGTGTTTAAATATTTTTTTTTTTTTTTATTTCTCTCGAGTCTCGAAAGTGGAGAGAGACGCAGGCAAATTGAGGCAAGGCGAATTTTTAGCGATGCGCCGTTGATTGTGTCCAAAAAGAAAGAGAGGCAAGCATATACTATATATATATATGTAGGTACATATACACATGTATGTGTGTGTGTGTGTGTATATGGACTACAAATTTGGACAGGATAAATGCGTTGCAAAGCTTGAGCTGCTTGACTAGGCTCTAGATCTTGCTCTATATATCTCTATCTCTTACTCTCCCTCTCTCTCCTTCTTTGTCTTTAAATATGTATGTATATAGATAATATATCTATTGGTAGTTTTGTGTTAACTGTCATTATGGCGACATTTAAGTGCCTCAGCAACAAATCATAAGCAAAGTATCTTTGTATCTGTATCTGGCAAATACTAAAAACGAAGAAAGACAAAAAAAAAAAAAAAAAAAAAAAAAAATGAAAACCGAAGACAACGCCAGCAACAACATAACACGCACACATGTTGCCAGCTGCCTCGCGCGCACTCTCTCTCTCTCCCTCTCTCTCTCTCTCGCCTTTTCTGTGTGTGTGTGTGCAGGAACAGCAGTAAATAGCCAAAAAAAAATACACACACACACACACACACACTATATACACACACATGGGCAAAGACAAAGTAGAAGAGACAAACGAAAAGTGCGCGCCACAGCAAGCGGCAGCAGCACGAAGCAAGCAGCGAATGTATCTCAAAGATACGCAAACAGCGTAGCCAAGCGACGCGTCGCGACGCGACGCCGAAGCCGAAGCTGAAGTTGAAGTTGAAATTGAAGTTGAGCGCCTGCGCGCCTGCGCAGCAACAGCAACGGCCACCAACAACAGCAACAACAACAACACCAGCAGCAACAGCAACAGCAGACTATGGCTATGTCATCATAACATACAACGACGTCGTCGTCGTTTGTACACTGAGAGAAAGACTTTTCTGCTCAGAGTAAAATCCTGAAAAAATCCTAATTAACTGTCAAATTAGCTGCTGATTTGCTTGTGTTTGAATAGAGCTATATTCTATATAGATGCATTTGATATAGTCTATATATGTACATATATATACATATGTATTGATATAGGGATGTACCTACATATATCTTAGCTATATAGTAAAAGGTAACAGAGCTTCAGATCTAGACTTGTATACCATATATATAGCCATACATATATGGTAGTTGCCTATTTTTTAACAATTATATTTATATAAATAATTATATTTATCCACATTTATATTTGTTCATATATAAAGTTAGCTGTTTTCTTTATTTTCTGCCAACTTTAAATCAAAATATGTGCCTTAAAATAAATGAACTTAAAAATGTTATTTGTTTAATCAACTGTTTTTTATTTCCTATAATCTAAATAAGCTATATTAAATATATATATTTGGTTTGTATAATTTTGTATTATTTTTTATATTCTAGTATTTCAAATATTATTATTATTATTCGTTTTTTAGTATATATATTTATTTATTATTGCGCTCTCTTTCTCTGTCTCACTGAGTCTCTGCTTCCTTTCCAGTCTCTCTCTCTCTCTTTCTCGTTCACTGAGTCCCTTTTCAGTCTCTCTGTCTTTCCCCGTCTCTATCTCTCTTTCTCATGGTCCCTCACTCTAGCCCAGTCTTTCTCTCTCTCTCGTTTTCTTCCTGTAACTTCACAAACTAAGAAACAATCAAAAATACTTTTACTCAATTGATGGAGAATGATCGAGAAAGGTAGAGTCAGATCGAAGAGGGTAATCTAATAATATAGGGTATGCAATGATAGCTTCGAGATTTTACTACATTAGAAAAAAAAAACAAAATTTTGCTTTGGCATTTCGCTCAGTGCATTTGTATCTGTGAATTCCTACTTGCTGCTTCTGCCCTTTGGCTGTTGCTGTTGTTGTTGTTGTTGTTGTTGTTGCTGTTGCTGCCGCTGTTGCCGCATTTGTTCTCGCTGTGCGTTTTTCTTACGCGGTTTGTTTGTTGAACATCAAAACTGGTTTCCTGTACATATGCTCATCCAGCAACAACAACAACAACAGCAGCAACAACCATCTGTAATTTTAATTTTTCGGCAAGGCAGAGATTTCGATCGACGACGACGACGACGACGTCGCTGCCCAGGTAGAAATTGTGTACCTTTGTATTGTTTGCTTGCCATGCGTGTGTGTGTGTGTGTGAGTGTGTGTGTATCTTGAAGATAGCTGGAAGACAGTAGACACACACACACACGCACATACTCATGTGACTGCTCTCTTTGTGTATCTGTGTGTGTGTGTGTGTGTGTGTGTGTGCGTGTGCGTGTGTGTGTGCGTAATCCTTGCTGCCTTTTTCATGTTTTTCTGCTGCTTCGTCGTCTGCTGCTTATGTGTTGCAACAACAACAACAACAGCAACAGCAGTTACCATGATTCATA